ATTCCCAGGACATCAGCAGCTTCCTCAGCAATCCTGGGTGCCACCCAGTGACTGATGGACATCCAGCGGCACAGAACAGAGTCCCAGTCTTCACAAGTCACCCACAAACCACAGCACCCAAGGGCCAAAATGTGACCTCACTGATGACACTGTAAATCTGCAGGGCTCTGGTTGTTTATTCATTCCTCCCTGACACACATCTGAAAGTGAAATCCTGCCAAATACCAGCCCATGAAAATTGCCACCAAGATCATATGGACACAAACTCAAGAGCAGGACATGGAATTGCAGAACATCACAAAGGAAAACCACTCCCCTCCTCATGATCTCATGTTAGGCAAGGCCAGGGAAGGACTCTTGACTCAAAAAAGCCCCAAGGCCATGGGACAAGGCTGTCCCGCCCAGCCAGGACCTGCGTAAAAGCCAGCCCAGAGCCTCTCTCCCTCACACACTTCTCCTCCTGTTCCTGCTGACAACCAGGTGAGCCTCAAGCCCCTGACCCTCCTGATCCTGCACCCCTGACCTCTCTCTTCCAGCACACTCTGCCCCTGTCCCACCAGCCCTCACGCCTCACCACAGCCCCACAACAGCCTCCACACTCCATCACCCACCTCCATCACAGCCCCTCACACCCCAAACCCTCTACCTTTCCTCACCCCTCTCTCTCTTCCAGGCACCCTCCACACCACACCCATGGCCTGCAACAGCCTCTGTCGTCCCTGCGGACCCACCCCGCTGGCCAACAGCTGCAACGAGCCCTGTGCCCTGCAATGCCAGGATTCCCGTGTCATCATCGACCCTTCCCCTGTGCTGGTCACCCTGCCAGGACCCATCATGACCTCCTTCCCCCAGAACACCGCCGTTGGATCCACCTCCTCGGCTGCCGTGGGCACTGAGCTCAATGCCCAGGGACAGCCCATCTCTGGCGGATTTGGCTTTGGCCTTGGCTACGGCCTCGGAGGCCTGGGCTGCTATGGCAGAAGGGGCTATGGCTCCATCTGCTAAGGGCCCTCAGCACCACCCCTGACACCAAACATCCACTCCCTGGAACTCATCTCAGGCATTCAGGAGGCATTTCTGTGCCACAGCTCTTAAACAGGCTCAACAATTTCAATTCCAGTGAT